TTTAAAAATGATTGAAACTAAGGGGTTTTGTTTTTAATTTTCGGCTGAAGTATTTTAAAGGAGGAGAAGAGGGCTTTTTGAGAGGATTTACATGCAAAATGAACTAAATGAAGAGGCAAACAAAGAGAAAAATGCTTTTTATATGTGGGTCTTGTGTGTGCAACATGTGGCCGGCCTTAGAGGGCCCAAGTCCACATTTTTTTTATACTAAAACCCATTAAAATGTTAAGAAAAAAGATAAAATGCTAAAATGTGATAAAAAAAATCAATATTAGGTCAAATTTCCTAATTTTTGCAAAGTTGTTTGAATTTTTAATATTGGACTTTTATATTTTTAATTTGGACTTCATGTCATCAACTTTTATTGTTAGCTCTCATATTTCATTTAATGTAAAAGTATGAAAAAGTACTACTGCAAGTGTTGACAGAAGAGGTCTACCACAGAGGACCAACAACAGAAGATGTTCAATCGTACAAGTCAAAAGTGACAGAACCTCTGTTGTCTATCACAGAGGTTCTGGAAACTTGTCCTCTGTGAACAAAAGCGTACAAGTCAAGAATGACAGAACCTCTGTTGTCTCTCACAGAGGTTCTGGAAACTGATCCTCTGGCATCAAGAGCTTACAAGTCACATCCAGCAGAGCCTCTGGGATGGCTCACAGAGGATCTGCTGTATTATCTTCTGTGAAGAACCTCTTCTCACCGCTTTACTTAGGTTTGTTAGCTGCACGTGCTTTTCACGTGACTATGTTTGTAATCTGCTTTATTTGAACGRCTTAGAKYATTTCACTTGTCTAGGTCATGTCAGAAAAGCCGTTAGGAACTAGTATATATAGCAGCTTAGGCCTTTGTAATTTAGTGTGCTTCCTGTATTGTATTTGTCAATATTTTCAAAAGAATTGAAAACCATTTTAAGCTATTCTCTCGTGTTCTTCATATTCTTCATCTGTGTTCTTGATTGATTATTTGCTCTGTTTGTTCATTTAATTGTTTCCACTGCACTGTAATTGTTCTAAGAGTTCATCCAGAGTAAGTGATTAAATACCAAGCTGAATCTAAAGGTCCTAACATTTATCATGTTTGGAGACATTTTAGTGTATTTGGCATTACATAAGTTAATTTTATCGCTAAATTATGATTTTCTAAAGTGAACGTCGGGAATTTAAGCCAATTGAGCCCTAATCAACTTAACTAAGTCCTATTAAAATATTTCTACTTTTACAAACCCTAGATTGCTACTAACCTGAAACTCGAGAATTGGCGTATGTCACAGTTTCCCCCGGTTGGAAGAATTTCGTCCCGAAATTCAATGGTTACCTAATGTGACTGCATCTTGAGCAAAATGGTGAGGATACTTGCGCCTCATACAATCCTCACGTTCCCAAGTATATTCAGGCCCACGCCTCGATGTCCAACGAACCTTCAGACTTGGAATTTTGCTTCGCTTTAACTGCTTAACTTCTCTGTCGAGGATCTCAATGGGTTCTTCTATGAAGTGCAACCAATCATCAATTTGAACATCTTCTAGGGGCCTGATCAATGAGTCGTCGGCCAAGCATTTTTTAAGACTGGACACTTGGAACGTATTATGAATGGCGCTTACTTCCTGGGGTAGCTTTAGTTTATATGCCACTGGACCAATTCTTTCGGTGATCTCGAATGGTCCAATATACCTAGGGCTTAACTTCCCCTTTTTCCCAAACCGCACTAACCCTTTCCACGGTGATACTTTCAAAAGCACTTTATCCCCAATCTGAAACTCAAGAGGCTTCCTCCGGTTATCCGCATAACTTTTTTGACGATCCCTGGCAGCCTTGAGTCTTTATCTGATTATTGATATCTTATCAGTAGTTTCCTGCACAATGTCTGGTCCCGTTAGCTGACTATACCCAATCTCCAACCAACTAAGTGGTGATAGACACTTACGCCCGTATAAGGCTTCATATGGCGCGCATTGAATACTAGTGTGATAGCTGTTGTTGTAAGAAAACTCTATCAATGGTAAATGAATGTCCCAACTTCCTTCAAAATCGATCACGCATGCTCGAATCATATCTTCTAAAGTTTGAATTGTGCGTTCACTCTGCCCGTCCGTTTGGGGATGATAGGCGGTGTTCAAATTCAGCTGTGTACCCAGCGCCTTCTGAAGTGATTGCCAAAACCGCAATGTGAAGCGGCTATCTCTATCCGAGATAATGGAAATAGGTACTCTGTGTTTTGCAACAATTTCGTTAACATAGATTTAAGCAAGCTTCACCACTCTAAAATCTTCACGAATAGAAAGAAAATGTGCGGATTTTGTCAGTTGATCCACTATTACCCATATCGCGTCATGACCTTAGCAGTTCTAGGCAATTTGGTGATAAAATCCATGGAGATTTGTTCCCATTTCCATTGTGGAATATCGGGTTGTTGTAACAATCCGGATGGCTTCTGATATTCTGCCTTGACCCTTGAGCAAGTCAAACATTTCCCAACATACAAAGCTATATCCTTTTTGATTTCTGGCCACCAGTAGTACTCTCTCAGATCCTTATACATCTTATCCGCCCCTAGGTGAATCGAATACCTAGATCTATGGGCTTCCTCCAAAACTAACTTCCGTAGGTTGTTAACCTTCGGAATCCAAACTCTATCCTTGAAGTAACGCACTCCATCTGACTTAGTCCTAAATTTATGCTCCAGATTATGCAAGGTCTCACTCTTCAATTTTCTTCATTCTGAGCTTCAAGAATTCGAGTCTTCAAACTCATCTGGACAAGCGTTCCCAAACCTTGTACTCGAGAGGGTTTTATCCTTTCCCTTCGGCTTAGAGCATCTGCAACTATGTTGGCCTTACCTGGGTGGTATCGAATTTTACAATCATAATCGCTGAGCAACTCTACCCATATCCTTTATCTCATATTGAGCATCTTCTAATCAAGGATATGCTGGAGACTTTTGTGGTCGGTAAAAACAGTACACTTAGTGCCGTACAAATAATGTCTCCATATTTTGAGAGCGAAAACCACAACTCCTAGCTCCAAGTCATGAGTGGTATAGTTCTTCTCATGGGCTTTGAGTTGCCTCGAATCGTATGCTATAACCTTGTCCTTCTGCATCAATACGCAACCCAAACCTTGGTGGGATACGTCGTAATATACTACGAAGTTTTCGGTTCCTTCTGGCAAAGCCAGGATTGGCGCATTGCATAGCTTATGCTTTAGCAGTTGGAATGCGTCCTCTTGGGGTTTTCCCCAAACAAATTTCTTACCTTTATGGGTCAATGCTGTTAATGGTTGGGAAATCTTTGAGAAGCTCTCTATAAATCGTCGATAATAACCTGCCAAACCCATAAATTGACGAATTTCAGTCGGGGTCTTTGGTGCTTCCCACTTCTTTATGGCCGCAACCTTAGCCGGATCCACATGAATTCCTTTTTCGCYAATCACATGACCGAGAAAATGTACCTCCCGAATCCAGAATTCACACTTTGAAAATGTAGCATACAATTCTTGCTCCTTGAGCAATTCTAACATCATCTTCAGATGCTGCTCGTGATCTACCTTACTCCGTGAATAAATCAACATATCATCGATAAATACGATCACAAACTTGTGTAGATACGGTCTACAGATCCTATTCATTAAATCCATAAATACTGTCGGCGCATTGGTCAGACCGAAGGGTATAACTAGAAACTCGTAGTGCCCATATTGAGTCCTAAAGGCCGTCTTAGGGACGTCCTCCTCACGAACTCTTAGCTGATGATACCCTGACCGAAGGTCAATCTTAGAGAAATAACATGCGCCTAGCAACTGATCGAACAAATCGTCAATTCGGGGGAGGGGATATCGGTTCTTGATTGTCAACTTGTTTAACTCCCTATAATCTATGCACATTCAAAATGACCCATCCTTTTTTTTAACGAACAAGACTAGAGGTCCCCAAGGTGAAGAGCTTGGCCAGATGAATCCTTTGTCCAGAAGTTCCTGAAGTTGACTTGACAGCTCTTGCATCTCTGCCGGTGCTAAGCGATATAGAGCTTTACCAACAGGCGCCTCCCCGGGAACTAGGTCAATTCGGAATTCGACCTGTCTAGATGGAGGAAGTCCTGACAAATCATCCGAAAATACTTTTGGATAATTTCTCACTATAGGAATATCCTGAATATGCTTTTCCTCATATTTCCTTTCCGATACATGAGCCAAAAATGCAACGCACTTTTTCCTCATATACTTGCAAATCTTCACAAATGATACCATCTTTAAACTCCTTCCAGGTTTTTCCCCTTGTATAGAAAGGGTTTCTCCGTCTTGGTAAGGTATTCGCACAATCCACTCAAAGCAACAAATCTCCGCTCGATTCTTAGACAACCAGTCCATTCCTACCACTACATCGAAACTACCCAATTTAATTGGGATAAGATCAATACTAAATAAACCCAAGATTACGTCCCTAACCTTTATTTCTTGGCCATTGGCAAATTCGATAGTGTAAGCATCTTTCAACTTCCTCGATTTCAGATTTATCAACGGCCTAAATTCTAGGGAAACAAAACTTCTATCTGCTCTAGAGTCAAACATTACTAAGGCATAGAGGTTGTTTAAAAGAAACGTACCTGTCACAACATTAGGGTCTTGACGTGCCTCTTCGGCTCCTATTACAAATGCCCTTCCCCGAGCCTGGCCTCCTTGATTTCCCTGACTGGTTTGCCTTACCTGGTTTCTAGCATTGTTGATGCTCCATCTTCTAATTTTCCTTGGGCACTTATTCCTGAAGTGATCTTGACTTCCACAACGGCCTAAATTCTAGGGAAACAAAACTTCTATCTGCTCCAAAGTCAAATATTACTGAGGCATAGAGGTTGTTTAAGAGAAACGTACCTGTCACAACATTAGGTTCTTGACGTGCCTCTTCGGCTCCCGTTGCAAATACCCTTCCCCGAGCCTGGCCTCCTTGATTTCCCTGACTGGTTTGCCTTACCTGGTTTCCAGCATTGTTGATGCTCGATCTTCTAATTATCCTTGGGCACTTATTCCTGAAGTTATCTTGACTTCCACACTCATAGGTACTCTTATTTCGTCCTTATTTTCCTTTTCCCCTCTACAAAACTTGGCGATATGACCCAACCGATTACATTTGCCACATGTAGGACAGGCCCCTGTATGGTGATAATTACATTTGCTGCATTTTGGAAGTGGCAGACTATACTGCCCCGGTTCCTGAGCCTTTACTCCAAAATTCTTCACCACTCTTTGGTTCTTGCCTAACTTGTTGTTGCCCCTTCTCCACGATTGCCCCTCTGGTTTCCTCTTTCCACCAAATTTGTCTTGCTTTAAAATCCCTGATCTAACTGCATCATTTGTCAGACGGTTTGCCAAAACTACCGCATTTTGTATAGTGGTTGGGTTTGCCAACGTGACCATCCCTCGGATTTCAGGTGCCAATCCCCACATGTACCGATCAATTCGTTTCTCCTCCGGAGTGACCATATGAGGTACTAACTTGGCAAGCTCATGAAAACGAGCAATGTATTTGTCCACCTTTATTCCAATCATGGTGTGATTCCAGAATTCAACTTCTAGCTTCTGAATTTCGCTCTTAGGACAATACTCTTCGATGAGTAACTTTTTGAGTTCTTCCCATAATAGCTCATAGGCAGCTTGGCGACCACGGGTTTGAACTTGAATGTTCCACCAAGTTAGGGCTCTACCCTGGAGTTGGCATGTTTCATACTCCACCTTATAGTCATCAGAGCACCTGCTAATATGGAGTACCGACTCCATGCTCTCAATCCATGATAGTAGTCCAATTGCACCTTTTTTTCCATGAAACTCCTTGGGCTTGCAGGACATGAATGTCTTGTAACTGCATCCTCTATTGTTGGTGTTACGGTTCTCCTCCCTGACAAGATTCTCGGTGCTAGGGCCTCCCTCACTCCTTTGACTTGCATTAATGCCCGCTGCAACCTGAGCGACAATAGTTGGTACCGCCTCCCGAATTTGCTGAGCTATCAACTGTGCTATATCGGGTGTCTGGCTTTCAGGATTCCCTCTCATGCTGCGTGCGCTCCTTCTTGGGGGCATGGTTCTAGAATATGTTCACAAACGTTTATTTGATTAGAATTTTTTTTAAAAAAATGACCATACTTCAATACCTTAAATCACAACTTGGAATTCACAACAATGATAATCATAAAAAAATTTACATCCCACAAAAATGGCTTTTCATACATAGTTTGAATAATGTTTATTCAGCAACGTCAAAGATTCATTGCTTATCAAAAGATTTCGACTCCAAGGTGACTAATTCATTAGAAAGTAGTAAAAAGCACACATTTTGGAAGTTAATGTTTTTCTTTGCATATATGTTGTGCCGAAAAGACTACTAATAATTATTCAACTAAAACCATCCCCGATAAGTGACCAGTAGGAGCAACATCACAATTATTGCCAGTGCCAGTCCTCCCATCACATGACATAAAATCACTATCCTCCGCACAGATCTTCTTGCCGCATTGGCAGTCTCCCATGTCTCCATTGACGTCTGGTGCAGGAGGTTTGCAGCCTCTGTCAAGTTGGCCATAGCCTGGTGCTGATATGCCAACCTTGCCTTGCATCTCTGCAGTTCGGCAGCCATGGACTGAACCCTTTGTGCCTCGGCCTGTGCCATGCCGGATGCTTCTCCTACAGGTACCCCCACAACTACACGAGGTGTCACCACCGGCTCCTGGCGCAAGGGTCCTAGTCCTGCCCTCCTTGGCATAGGAACGGTCTTTTGTGCCGACTGACGGGTGCGCGCCCCACCCGGAACTGGCCGATGAACTACCATGGTCGCCTAGGGTAACTCGGTAGTAGGTGACATTCTCAGGTGGGCTCCATTAGTCCTCTCGCTGGACACCTCGTGATCCGAATCGGTGTCAACATGAGGTTTCTCCTCTCGAATGATAGGCGGGTTGGCCTGGTGACGGCCGGTGACATAACCCGACTCGTCAGCCGAGTATGAATTGAGAGAAAAAGATGATGATGACACAGTGAAGCTGAGATAAGAGTGCACTAAGTCACTAAGGGTATATCTATAATCATCTATTATATGCAATGCCTATTCACACACCAAATATGATGCTTCAAAGGTTTTGAGAGGAAAATAATCTTAAATATATTCCCAATATAACCATTTCAATTATAGCATTAATCTTTTCTTAATTAAACATAGGTGATCAGACTTTGTTTAATTAAGGTCCAATAATGCAATACTGATTTAGTTATACAAACAATATGTTCAGAATTTTAAAAGTTATTTCCAGGTTTCGGCTATAGTTTGGGCTTTCCCAAGGAAAACCAATGTTCTCTATAACCTTCGGGTCTAATACCCAACCTGTTACACCCCGTTGCGGCGGAAACATGAGATGTAACAGCTGAAGGGTTTCACAACATAAGGTAGAAGACAACACCAACCATAGTAAAAGAAGATAGTTCAAAGGTTTACAATGTCACAAAATTACAACATTTCAAAAGGGAAATAACATGTTTGACAAAAAAAAACGATATGCTGCCACATGATGCCTTCCTATATGCCAACCTTAATGAAGAACACCTGAAAAGCATGCCGAAGAAAGAGGTCAACTACTGAAATAGTTGGTGAGTTCACAGGTTTTAAACAAATACAAAGTTTAACTTGCAAAGCGGTTTAATCCACATAATGGAATAGTAATTAGTAGTATGTAAAACACAAGGTAAAATTGTATGCTTAAATGCTAAAGCCACGAGCCCATTACCAAACCTAATGACAGCACCCCGCGACTACATGTTCTATCGCCAACATGAGTACTATTATTCTCACGTCCTACCTCAGTGGTGAAATAAATCCACATGTGTAAGACTTTTGTATAACTCTCGGATCGTACCTCAGCGGTGAAATAAATCTACATGTGTAAGACCCGTTTTGGTAATATGCACTTCTAACTCGTCAGTCAAAAGTGGGTTGTCAAACCAAATAGCGCTATCCATAATTACCAACGGTTCATATAATGAATTAATAGGTAGTGTAAAGGGAAAATGGGGATTTAAGAGCGATAGCAAAAGAAAACTCAGGCAACTAACACAAGCATACAAACCATGTGCAATAGCAATAAGAAAAATTTAACAATTCACGCATATTAGAGCAACCGATACATAGTATTATAGCATGCTTTTCCCCCAAAATTGCGGTAAGAGTAAAAGGGGGCTGTGAAAACTCACCTTTTCAGCAAAAGATTATAGAGTTGTTGTACGGTTGCACAATTTCTCGGTTCTAGGTCCTTCCTATGGAAGTGAAACACACTATCAGATTTAGGTCCAATTCTTAGGGCTAAGGTATTGCTTAGCTCATCATGTCTTATATAATCCTTATGTGATACATATTAGTTTTAAGTATTAATTTGTGATTATGATTAAATGCAAAATTTATTGATTTATATGATGCTTTAAGAAAATCTATAACTTACGCGTTTTATTCTTTAATATTATAAAAAATCTATATTTTTCTTGAACAAGAGTTTTCATTTTTCTACTGGCAGAAACTTCAGTTCACATATGAGCATAATAAGTTATTTTCTTGATTTATTTGATCAACCAAATTTTTATATGTTTTATTTTAATGTCTTAGGGAAAGTTTGACATAAATAACATCATTTTTAGAGGTGGTTAGGTATTTTAATCATTATACTCAAGTTTAAGTGTCACAGTTATCATGGCAGCCTGCATACTCTTTTTGCCACATCTGTTTGGAAGGTCAAATATCAATATTTTTAGATTTTCCAATTGTGTTTTAAAACTAACTCAAATATATATCTTCCAGAAAAAGAATCATCATTTATGATTACGTTTGGAGGGAGTTATGGTCATTTTAAGACACATCTCCAAATCTGTCAGATTCTGATTGCATGCACACCCAACTTAGTTTGAGTGTTTGAGACCTCAAATCTCAATATTTTTTATTGAAACTGCTTTTGTTTGAAAGATAATCCAATAAATTAATTTCCAGATGAATAATCAAGTATTTTAGTGAAATATTAAGAGAGTTATGACCGATTAAAGTAGAAATTTTACTCTAACAGATCATCCCTTGCATTCTTAATTTAATCTCAGTGGTTGAGAGGTCAAATCTCTGAGTTTTTACATGAAACCACTTGGGTCTGAAAAATAACTCAATTAAAAGGGCTCCAGAAGAAGAATCAAGTCATTTGACTAAGTATTTTTCAAGATATGATCGAATGAAGTTCATGCATGAAATCTGCCAGAAACCAAAAATGCTTAACCCATGGAAAATGAGTGTTTTGGCTCTTCATTTTCACTTATAAATTTGATTCTCGTTTTATACACTTATTTAACATCATTTTATCATATATTTTTGGATCAAAATCATCCTTTAATTTTTATAATTACATGCATGAACTCAAACATCTCAGATTATAGAAAAATCTACGTGCATAACATCAAAACTTGATTTCTTGAGTTCTAGTTGTATGGGTCATGGATTATCACCATTATGAAGACATCTTTCATGTCTTTGGTGTATAATCTACCATCTAAATACTCCAGAAATTTGAGTTCAAAAGAGAAGGAAATGTGTAGAAAAAGATGAGAAATGATGTTTAARATACTAAAACAATGTAACTAACTCTTTAACTTTGTTGTTAGCACTTTGATTCCTTCAAAGTTCTTCAAAAATGATTGAAACTAAGGGGTTTTGTTTTTAATTTTCGGCTGAAGTGTTTTAAGGGAGGAGAAGAGGGATTTTTGAGAGGATTTACATGCAAAATGAACTAAATGAAGAGGCAAACAAAGAGACAAATGCTTTTTATATGTGGGTCTTGTGTGTACAACATGTGGCCGGCCCTAGAGGGCCCAAGTTCACATTTTTTTTAAACTAAAACCCATTAAAATGTTAAGAAAAAAAGATAAAATGTTAAAATGTGATAAAAAAAAAATTAATATTAGGTCAAATTTCCTAATTTTTGCAAAGTTGTTTGAATTTTTAATATTGGACTTTTATATTTTTAATTTGGACTTCATATCATCAACTTTTATCATGTCTGGGGAAATTTTAGTGTATTTGGCATTACATAAGTTAATTTTATCGCTAAATCATGATTTTCTAAACTAAACGTTGGGAATCTAAGCCAATTGAGCCCTAATCAACTTAACTAAGTCCTAGTAAAATATTTCTACTTTTACAAACCCTAGATTGCTGCTAACCTGAAACTCCAGAATTGACGGATGTCACACAACTATTCTTGAAATTGTTATTCTCACGTCTTGTAAATAATATCATTTTCGGTGATAATACGCTCGTTAGTAATCGAAGTTTGTTTTTCTGATATATTTTTTTTCTTTGATTGATGCACTTTTTATAATTCTTTGAATATTCTAAATTTGTAAACTTGTTCTTACATATCTTCATTCATTTCTCACACGTACTGAATAATCTGATTTCATATATCACTCCTTGTTTGATTGTGCTTCAAAGTTACATCTTGATCAAATTTTATATGATCATTGTGCTTTATATGCAATAATATTTTTGATCAATTGTTTGTGATCATTTGAGCTTACAATGTTATTTTAGGAGGGACTGAGTGCTTTACAGAAATACCTCTATGGAATGTCAGAACCGACAAACCTAACCAAGAGGACAACCATATCTGAGTGAGCTTAAACTCATAATGGGTTTGTGTGCTGCATATAAAATGAAAAAGAGAGGGGTAGTTGTTGTGAGATAAAGGAATTGACGAGAGTTGTGTCAGGATTAAAAGATTATAAGAATCCTGTTCTAAACTTCCAAATTTCGGGCATCCATATAATCTATTAGTTCTCAATTTTTTCGAGACTAATATTGAAAAAGGCAAAGCCCAGACCAATTCTTGTCACAACCCCACCAGCTACTCATTTATCTCTTAACAGATAAGTGTTTCAATAACACTTGGGGCACACAGCTCACAATCTATCAGTTTCTCATTCGGAGAAATTTGATATTGAAACAGAAGGATATATGTCCCCCTTTTAAGTTTTTTTGATCATGCATTGAGTCTGATAAATTTGTGTAG